CTTTTTTGCGGAAAACCGCATCTAGATTGGCCACGGATGCTTTTCCGCAAAAAGTGCTTTTGCGGAAAAGCATCCTGCCAATCTAGATGCGCTTTTCTGAAAATGCTTTTAACGGAAAACTTTTCCCTTAAAAGCATTTTCGGAAATTCATGCTAGTGTAGACGTAGCCTTGTCTAAATCTCACTTATCGGTCCTCATCCTCAAAGGAAACCTGCATAGCGCTTTCAAAAGATGAGCCCAAGAGTGTAAATTTATAATTCTGCTAGACAGCAAAAATCACAAACTGAACAGAGACACTGAACTTATTACAACAACCAGTTATCCTCTAACACCTCCCCCCTTTTTTTGTCCTATGACTGCAGAGGTGTTAACAGACCCTGAATGGTCCCTTACAATATGTGCTAACTAGTTATGTTAAGCAATCTGTTCCACTGCTAAGAGTACCTTTCCCAGAGGTGGAGAAGAGCTGTGTGTGCCTGAAAAGCTTGTCTCTCTTGCCAACAGATGTTGGTCCAGTAAACAATATGACCTCACCCCCCTTGTCTCTCTCATATCCTGGGACCAGCAACACTATAACTACACTGCATACATTTTTCTTCACGACAGTGTCATGAAACAGGATTAGACTAATTATTCTACTGCTTTGAAACTGGCACAAAACCAAAGGGCTACAGCTGTGTTAAGTGGCAGAAGAGCTTCTTATCTCAATATGCACAGAGAGTATTGTCTTTTCTTGAGGCACACACAAGAGCTACCATTAACACTGATCACTGGGAGAGAAGACTGCTCCTTATGACTGGTGAGAGACAGAAAGGTCCTTTTCTGCAGAAAGCTTTTTTCTGTATTGTTGTTTTTGTGCCAATTTTAAAGTATCAGATCGATTAGACTAATCCTGTTTTGTGCAATCATCCTAAAGGAAAACCTATTTCCTGTCCAGTATGACACTAGAACCATACCACAATAGGAGGTAGCTCATTTACAATTGTTAAAGTTTCTGAAAGGCGAGGTCTGATTTTTGACAATGTAATACTTCTTGAGTTATGGGCATTAAATGAAATTTTATTTTATGGCTGTAGTAAATCCTTTTTTTAAAAATTTTCAGTTGCCCTCAATGTTATGAAATGATATAAAATACAAACCTGGAAAGAAAGATATTTCACACTACACACAGAGAGATGTGTATGTGCATCCACAAAATGCATGTAAAAGTGCATGTTTCCTTATATAAAATGAATTGCAGGTGCTAAGCATCTTTGTACCTTCAAGCGGGAAGTCAGAACTGCAAATGCCATGGGTTGCAGCTGCAAAATTCTCCACTTCTGTGAGTCCTCAACTAGTCTCTTACATAAGTTAGCCACAGAGGCTTCTTTAACATATAGCAGCCTCATCACGGATGCCAATAGTTCGTATTGCAGCCCCAAATCACTGAAGTCCTATGGGCATTCCCCCTTCTACACCAACCTGTTCTCTCCCATCCATGCTGGACCAACAAAGTAATGCCACTGATGCTCTACCTGAGCTGGAGGAATTTTTCTCTTGGCAATTGAAACTTTTTTTTATCCCCTTTAGAGCACAGAGGCACCAGAGTAGGGGCCCAAATCAGCCCCATAGCTCTTAAAACTGTGCATTATGACACTTAAATCAACTCTGACATTTTACACATACTGTAAATGAAACGAGAGAACAAAACTAAACCTCAGGTTCATTCAGGATGGAGCAATTCTACCACACTATAGCCAGCATCTGGATCACCATGTATACTGCATATTAATCACTCAAAGCTTCAAACAAGGAGCTATATCCAAATACCATTTGACTGTTGAATAAGGAAGACAACTAGCAAAGTTAGACACAGAACACCTGTGTCTCAGTAGCCATACAGCCTTCGGCACACCTTGTCTGAAAGGGTGTCAGAGTGTGTTGTTAGGTACACAAATGCCTGAGGCTACTGCAGATGCCAATGACAGAGTTGTATAATGTCTCATACCTTGCAGCCTTCACATGTGATGACTCCATAGTGTATTCCAGAGGACTTATCTCCACAAATTTTGCATGGTATCACTTCGATTTGTGCTGAAAAAGACAAAGGGTTATTTTTAGTGTATGATGTTATTTCTTTTCTTTTCTGTCCTAACTACTTGTCATAGGTTTCAGAGGGGTAGCTGAGTTAGTCTGTAGCATAGACTTAAAAAACAACAAATAGTCTGACAGCACTTTATAGACTTACAATAGATAGTATCATGAGCTTTTGTGGGCACAGCCTGTGAGAGCTAACTCCCTGCAAGTGTAATATTGCTCTTTATGTTATTGTATGTTTTGCTGTGCTTTGTTCAGGTTTAACTGATTTACATGATGGGGCTTTTTGCTATTTCCCTTGAGAGTAAGAGTTCCCTCACAATAAGAAATCTTTCCTCACATTCCCTGTAAGTTTTCTCTTTTTCAAAATTTCATCTCCATTTCTCCTAGCTGTACTTATTGGACCACACTTAATAATTAGCCTCCATTTTTAGCATTCAACACCTTCAAACACTGCTAGACAGTAACCTTGCCCTCCATCACATCTTCATTCTTCACTGTGCTGTGGCAGAATTGCCATATATGATTTGATGCTCTTTCTATTAAGCTGCCCCAGCTCTTCCCTCTCGTCCACATCATCGCTCGCTGTACTTGGACACTTGATATGGTACAGTTCATGTGATGTTCTTTCATGTCCTCTGATCTGTGGTTTATTGACATACATCAAAGACATCCTCTAGCAACATCTCTAAATATCTCCAAAGTTCTGCCTCCAAGGAATTGCTTAAACCAGTGATTTATTTGCAGATATCCCTCACCTCCTCCAGCCAACGCCATTTCTTTACTTGATCAAAATTAGAGATGGACAAGAGTTATAGATCTTGATCCTAACATCTCCATGCTCTAGTTTTTCCTTTGGCCATAAAATTAGAAGCTAGCTACAAGATTCAGAACTGCATATAGATTCAGATTTACTCAAAATTGGAAGGTAAGGCTTTTTGGTTTAGGCCCTTCTACAACGTAAATATTCAATATACACTTCTGA